CCCACAAATAATTTATTTCTGAGTGGTAATTTTCAAAACACTCCCCTAAACACAGTTTCAAATCACACTTTAGCAGTACACTGACATGAACTTCTTTGCATCTTTCCCTGTTTTGTTTTCGCTGTTCTCCACACACACTTTATAGGTTTTCTGAAATTGTCCTTTTAGTTTTGTCTTTGTTGCTGGAATTCTGTGTGGAAAATTATATCTTCAGTAGGTCTCCTTTCAGAAATACTCTAGGTTTGTTCCTGAATATCTTGCCATGCATCACTGAGTAGGGCTACAGCAATCATCTTGAAGAAAGCTCTAATAGGATTTTTTTCTTCTTTTTGTTGTGCAGTATGTATGCTTTTACCATGGACAGATCAAAGACATGAAGACTTTCTTCCACCACTTTACTGATTTCCTTTGTAATCAGTATATTTCCAACATTTGGTCAGACTTATTGAATACAGTTTTGTGTTTATTGTTGTCCATAACTTCTGCAGGATTGTTGCGTGGTGCTGTCTTCTGGGCAACAGTGCCTCATGTTATTGGGAGCAGTACTAAAAGTGAATGCATTGATGTCTTTCCTTTCTGTAGCTGAGAGATGACATCTTTCGCAAACAGTTTGAATTGCTGAGTTGTCCTCAGGGAATGGAAGAATTTGTGTTTGTTCCAGCAAGCCAGAAAATACATGTCTTCATATTGTTTCAGATTTGCCACTCCATCATAATTCAGAATCAGAGATTGGGTTGTTGAGGTTTTGCGGTCAATGTTCTGCTTGTCTCCATTGCCACTGAAGGGAAATTTTCTCATCACTACTAGTTTTATTGCCACTAAAACAAGTGTTTTGAGAAGCTCACAGTTTCAGGAACTTCAGTATATTCTTTTGAATCTGAATCATATTTTCTGATGTTGCCCGTCAGAAAGGTTTGGCCATGAGAATAACCTTGGTTAGGCTGTTGAATATCCATTTTGCTTTAACTTGCTAAGAACTGCACTGAATGAGCTTATCTTGGGTATGAGAACTCATAAACACCTTTCATAACAGGAAACAGACCAGCTTTGTTTTTTACCTTGACCATGGTTTTGAGGCAGCAATGACAATTTCTTGCTTGGGAATGAAAACCAAACATACAGGGTTTGTGGAGAAGTCAGTTAAACATTTATTTTGAGATGGCAAAGCATTATTTTATGAGATGATTAGCTCTGATGCCATCCACTGAAATTAGAAGCTTTCACCTAGTGACTGTTGCAAAATTCATGTGAATAATGCATGTAGTTCTTTTTCTGTGAATTTTCAAATATCTGGTTAGTGCTGCTACTACTGCTGGCATCTTGGTGAGATGAGCCAGGTCATAATACTACCATTGCTGGACAGGAAGTGTTAAAATATAACCTATTTTGTTTTCAGATATGCCATTACCTTGTGGTACTTTGATGCCGTAGAGAGAGAGGAAGCTTGCAGGCGACACAGACAAGAATGTAAGTACCAAGTAACCCCCTTGGTTCATGTTCTCAGCCTTGTCTATGTTACAGTACTCTAAAATATGGCATAGTTCAGTATCTCATACCACATGATGAACATATAGCTGTGTGCACCTGCTTGCTTAAATTATATTCACGTTACTGTATTCTTCACGCTTCGTTGTTTTTCATTTTGATAAGTGTATAGAATTACAATTCATGAAAACATTTAGTAGATTCAAAATGGCCATGTAGAAAATTGCAGTATTCAAAAGGTATAAAGAGATGTGAAAAATAATGCGGTTGCAAACAGTTGGAACCAGAACGTGTAATTAAAAAAAAAAAGAGAGAAAAGTAAGTGATGTATGATGACAGGGCACAGTAAAAATTACTAATATGAATTTGTGGTAATGTGGTGTTAATCAGAGCCAATCAGATGACAGGATTTCACTGCTATTATTATTAATTATTAATTAATATTATTATATTTTTTCAAATATTATAAAATGTGTTAAAAGTGAATGGGACTTCAAAATATTAAGGCACAACAGTTAAGAAGCAGTGATCTATAGCATTATATTCTTCTTAAATGTATTTTGACTTTCTAGCCTAGTTGTACATTAGATTGTACTAATTACTAGCCATCTTCTCTAGCACTCTTCTCTTTTCACATGTGTGTTAATCAGGTATTTGAATTAAACAACAGAGTATAAATGTTTGTTGTTAATAGATGTGCTTATTTTAATGAAGCATGAAGATAATTTTTTTCTTTCTAAATGCCTCCAGTTATATCTTTCGACCTTTCTGGGATATAACCCCTTGTAGTCCATTGAAAGTCAGCCGACATTTTGGAGAAACATGCCACCCCCATCTTCAGGGTAGAATAAGCCAAGCATGATACCGGTGTGAAAGCAGGTGGCGGTGTATCTTGCTTTGCTTATTCGACCCTGAAGATGGAGGCGATATGCTCCTCCAAAATGTCGGCTGACTTTCAACGAACTACACAGCCTTGTATCCCAGAAGTACTGTTTCTGGGTGTTGCCTATCTGACAAGGCAAATGTAATCTGTTTCTGAGATGAAGGCGGTCATAAGCGTGATGGAGAAGAAAGATTATTTTATTTTGCCTTATAATTTGACCTGTACCACTTCTTCGAAATAAAAATAGCCATTTTGTTACTGTCCCATATTTATACCAGTCTGTTGAAAGTTTTCTTCAGACATGTTATCAAATTTATGAGTAAGATGTTGCATGCAGTTTTGGTTACATTATTCTGTCCTTTTTTTCCATGTACAATTTGACCACATACCCTCTCTCCCCTCCCTCTCTCACAGACTTACCCACCCACATATGCACATGATGCACAGTGAACAAGTTCTGCTGATTGTAGGTATTGTTAAAATTTGAACTGTGGGTGTGGTTGGTCAGTGATTATGAATTATGGATGTCATTGCTTTGTGCTGTCAAATCCTACTTGCACCCTTGCTAATTGTATAGAGGTGCTACTGAAGTTGCATGCTCTTGTCAGTGCCATAGACATTGATTGGCTATTAATGTTTATGCTCTGGCACTGCCAGTAATGAGAACTGCTGTATTGGTATCATCTACCAAATAAATGTTTGCATCTCAGACATGTAAATAAAAATATGTATTGTGCTCTTTCGCACTAGGATGATCTCCACATCCGCATGAGAATGTACTCTCGACAGGATTTATGGAAGGTGAATAAATGAAATGTAAATTTGCTTCATAATTATACCACACTTGAAACATGTACTTGTGTTATTACCTCATTGCCTGACATACACAAACAGTGTAATTTGACTATGAGCAAAAATGTTCACTGTGTGCTATTTGGAAAATGAATATTCTGACAAAATAAAGTGGTCATAAAAAGCAATACTGATTACAAAAGAGCAAATGTTGTAGGTGCAAAAGTATACAAATTCAGAGTTCTTTTGTTTCAGGTGAACTGGTCCGGAACTCAAACTGACCTTTGTGAGGATCCTCCTTTACTGTACATAATTCCTGTGTATTTGTATGTATTAATGTAAATTATGGTACAGCCTGTACTTGTTTATTATTGTTGTTATATATTTACGGCTTCTAACCTTAAGCATGACTGTTGGTAAGACAGAAGTTGTAATGCAATCATTTTGCTCAGTCCGGTGCTGTTTCAGTGGGGCCTTGTTCATCCTCAATGAATCACAATTACCAATGTGTTTTTTCCTTTATAGTACGGTCATAAGAGATAACTAAATCTGAGCCAGATTTATGAAGTACTGAAGCATATATTCTATTTGCAATGAAAGTAACAAGTATCATAATTAATTTATGTTATTTTTAATATGTGTATATACTCGTATTGTGTTATTCATATAACCCAGTTTTCAGTAACTCAGGTTTTAACATGAAACATTGGAAAGAGCTCCCTCCTTGCTTATTTTCCTGACCATGTGTTTTGCAGACTAAAATTGAACTAGAGAACATTCTGTTACAATGCTATGTCAATTTTTCATTTCAGAGGCTTTTGATATATTTGTTTCTGACATTGCATCAGTACACCGGAATATACAAGAGTCAGTAAATAGGTCACAGATGGAAGTATAGGTTTTCTGTCTGTATCTCTAGGTAGCAGACACGTATGCACATGTTCAGAGGCAGGTTTCAGTAGTCAGAATAGCAATCATACTACCAAAGAGCAGCATTCTGTTTGGTTTTTTTGTAGCCAAAAGGACTCAATGCAAAGTATCGTATTTACGCATGTATAGGCGGCAGCACAATTTTCAGACAGAAATTATGGAAAAAATAATTTTCTTGGAATATTATTTCAGGAGTAGAACACCCTGTATTACTAATTATGAATATAATTTTTTTTTAAATGAAGTGTGATTTCGAATATTTCGAATATAATCTGCGCCCCAGTTTTCCTCTTGAATTTCTGGCAAAAAATGTGCAGCCTATACATGCATAAATATGGTATATTCATAAAAAATCTTGGGTAGTGTTTGTAACGTAAAGCAGTTCACAACTGGGTCAAGAATTCTCAAGGACGTTCAAAAGTCACAGGTGCAGATGTGACAGACAAGAGTCAAAAACTTTTTTCTTTGAGTTTCGAAACACTGGTAAAGTGACTGGACAGGAGGACCAAAGTTGGTGGAGGATATATCAAGAAATAAATGTTTCTTCCAGGTTCAGATATGAGATGTTTTACATTTTATGTACATTTGTAACCTGTTTACTGACTCCTCCTCGTATATTATAATTTATTTGACCAAAATATATTTACTTCAAAATATTGATTTGTGTGAAGAATAACAATAACTAGTCTTGTGGTTACAGATTGTGCAGTTTGAGCTGCTAGTAAAAGGTTGTAGTAGGGAGTCAGGAACAGTGACTTTAACTTTAGTTTGTGCAGTAGAGTGAACAAAACACTTGAATTTCCAGCACCACTGTGAAATGTTCCTCTCTCTTAAGCATTCAAGTCGGCTATAATTTATTTATTTTCAGAGTTTTAAGTCTCTTGCTGGTGAGAAGAAACAACAGTAAAGATAAAAAAGTTGGTTTTAAATGTATGAGAAAGTAAAAGATTAAGCAGAATTTTACTTTCAGTATATTTTGTGTTTGTGACAGACAATGTTATATGCATTCTGTAAAGTATTGTTATTACATATTCTGTATATAGACTGAGTTTCTGCCATTAGACTACAAGTAGACCTTTCTCCTTCTAGCATCATTGGATCAATAGATAAAATCCAGAAAATGCCTCTTTAATTCTAAATTTTTGTCCTTACCTCAGTCTATACTTTTCTTGTACTTTAAAAGATCAGTTTATGTGATAAATTGTGGCAGTCTGTGTCTTTTTTTAGTTGTGAAGCCAAAGCTCTTCCAGTTACATCCATTATTTTAAAAATCCCATGTGACTAATATTTTCATATCTGATTGCTATTTAAGTAACAATAAAAAAATAAATTCTAAAGGGTTCTGACAATGGTGTATAGCACTCAGAATTACTTGAAAAAGTCCAAAAACCCAGTCACTCTGATTGTCATATTCCTTATTCTTTTTCTGTTTTCATGTAACACAAATTAAAATTGTGCTTATATTTTATTTTTATCTTTCCTTGAGCCCCAATAATGTCACATCATTATCATCCTCTGATGTCTCCACCAAGGAAATTTGCTCTTCATTCTCATTGTCTGGTGTTGAATTGGGAACTAGGGAATACACTTCAGCAGATCTTCAGTGTCTTTCATTTCTCTGTCATATGCTTTTGAGATGGAAATATTTTCTAGAAGATAAACAGCATGCATATCTGGGTGTCACTTTGTCTTTGGTTGTTCACTGAACTGACAGCCTCAGGCCATTTCTCAAATGAACTAGGTTGTCTTCTGCACATTTTGTGTTCTGCATCGTCTTGAGCAAATGTATCACTGTTATTGTAAAATGAGACTGTTACATTTCAGTAACAGTGAATGCACTTGAGGTTTTAATGTGCCTTCATGTCCACATACTTTTTTTTTTTTTTGCAGAAGTCTGTGACAGTGATTACCAAACTGCTGCAATACACATTTTTAATTTGAACAAAACAGCTATGTGAATATATAACTAATGTATCAGTACCATGAAATCCATCAGAAGTAAACTTAACCAGGGATATTCCATCTGTCCTACAAGCACAAAGTTTTCTTGCCAAACCGACATGAATTTCTCGTTGATACAGTTAGAAGCTGTGTTCGCAACTGACATTTTTAGAATACTTCAGCTATGTGAATATATGCATTGGAAAATTCTGTTGCATGCCACCAATATTTGTTTTGATGTCATATTTTGATAAGCCATGGTTATGTTCTTTTGATTTGGCTAACCAAATTTAATTTCAAGTGAGCCACATATGTTGCAAGTATCAGTTGCAGATTTGGAGAGTGACAGAACTTTCTGTTAAAGATTTGTTTGTATTTGTACTCATTGAGAGCATATTTCCTGTGTTCATTGATCAGCCATTTCAAATATACTTCATGTAGTCTGGAAATATTTGTGCTGTCCAGTAGGAACTCTCTGTATGGGATTGCCTTTACTTGCTCATTGCTTTATTACTGAAAATATTAGGACATTTGTCAGTCACTGTATCACAGGCAGCCATGAGCTTGGTTGATAAGGTACTGGAAATTAGCTGACTGAGGTTAGACCACTCTTGCACTTCATATAATGCTTCTCTGTGGGTATGACAAGAAATGACAGTCGGTAGTACTGGCAATGAGGAACTTCACTTTGAGCCATATCATCACTGAATAGTATTCACATCTGTTTAAGAGATGACACCATGATAATGATTTGCCCACTTCTGCACTGACTCCTTCAATTATATTTGAACACAAACTTTTATGAATTCCTACTCCTACTGCACCTGTTAATTCATTAGCAGCTCCCTGAAACACATTCTTCTTGATGTACATTAACTTCTAAGTAGATATAAGCATATTATATTCTTTTGTATATGTTACATAAGTATTAATATACACAATTAAAGGAAGAAAGAACATTGTCAGACGAAGAAATGATGGGTAGATGACAGAAAAGATAGTGATTTTAAGCTGAGTTACAAATGGCATCATATTTTGAGTCAGATCAGCTTGAGTTCTGAAACCTGATATATCAGTTCAGTTAAATAAGAATGGGTAAGGTAAAGCTGTCCCTGTAACAAGCCATGAAGGCCCATAGGGGTGTAAGATGTCGAGGATCCCACATTTTGTAGATAGTTGGCTCACAAACGGCAGTGAGGTTGTCAGCCTTATGCACCGGCTGCCCTTTGCCCCCCAGGAAAATTCCTGGTACTCATTTCTGTTAGAGGCTGATTTGACCCCAGGGTTATAGTGCGGCTGGAAGGATTAGGTCAATTGAAAAATCCAGTGACCTCTTCAGGATTTGATCCCGCAACCTACTGGCTTGTAACATAGTGCCTCAACCAACTATGCTACCATATGCCCCAATAAGAATGGGTAAATAATATAAATAGACATTAAAATAAGAATCCATATTTCCATAAATGCTTGTTACTTACCTAATACATCAGTCATAACTGGTGGTCCCACCACCAATTGTGAATTGGTAGTAATGTGATTGTACATTTATACAAAGTATTCAGTTTTAAGAGTACATGAAAAAAAATGGCCTCAGATTTGGGTTACGTGGGTATGGTGACAGATTTTGAGTTTGCTGTAATTAACATCAAGGACAGTTGCAGATAGTAAGCAGTGTAATGACATGGTGAGCTTTCACATCTCTCTTGTATTAAATGGCTTAACATATACAAGCAAGTTTTTGTATATTTATATTCATAGGCATGTATTCATTTATTGCCATTTATTAGTGACCGAAGTGTGGGCATCTTTCACTGTGGATTCCCGTTAATTTTTTCCCTGGTGAATAGATTTTAATTTTATTCCAGGATGAATTCTGAATTAAAAAAGGAATACATTTTTTGCATCCCCTGTGTAATGCATTATAAAAATATTTTGATAGAGTTTCACTATAAAAACAATTGTTTTGAGAGAGTAAAGCCCAGTAATTGATGGGGCTTTATTCATACCATCAGGGTTTCAAATAAGTGTAGAAGAATGTTAAGTCTACTGATTCATACAAGCTACAGTGTCTACAGTGCCTGAAACTAATTATGTTGCTATGTATCTTGTAACAATGTGGTACCACTAGTTACAAAATGTAGTGATTCTGAAATTATTGTTTATATTTCCATAGTGATGAATGCCATGTACAAGTAGTTTTCAGCCTATATAAGTGTTTAATGTGAATTCATATTACACTAATCTTAAGATGTACTGCAGAGAACAGGCTCAGTAAGTCTGTCTGAATAATCAGAGATGAGTTCCATATGTACATTATAATAAATAAGGATTTCTTTCTTGTTTTTCTTTTTGGAATATGCAGTTATTTTCATGCTTCATCACTTCCATCGTGTATCTTATATGTGAGTGAAGTATCATGTAGTGTAGATTAGCATGGCAGAGATTTCCAGCCTGTTGTCCCTGGATCCAGAGCATTTTAAATCATAACTGGGAAATATCTTGATCTTTTTTACCCCAGAATAGGTATGGTCATGTAACATTCTAGGATCTGTGTATCCAGCTGCTCCAATTGTATGTCATGAAGTTGAGGTCTATGAAATTGGTCTTCATTCATTCCATGGATATAATAAGACTGTCTTATTAACAAGGAAATATAACATTATTATTATTATTATTATTACTATTGTTGGGTGTGTGAGTGCACATGTGTGCACCCATAATAAATGGGTACATTGTCACCATGACATGGCACATCCACAGGTCAGGGATGGAGGATAACTGTGGACATGTTAAAATAGCCAGGAACAGATGACAAGGGGTGGTCTTTCAAGTTTGGACTGGTTGGTAAACAGAATGTCAAGAAATCTCAAGAGAAAAGACAGAGACATAGATACATTATATTAAAATTAAAACAAATATATATATATATATATTTAATTATATAGATATAATATAATATATAATTATATATATATATATAGGATATGAGGGTGTGAGCTGGCTTCATCTGAGTCAGGAGTTGGTAAAATGGTAGCGTCTTGCAAATATGACAATAAAACTTTCAGTTTCACAAAGGAGGGTGGGGGACATCTTCAGTTGAGCAACTGTAGTGTCACCCAACAGTGATACTTAGCCATATAGATTATGTAGAAGTCATCAGATGTTTATGACATGTACTGAAGACCACAGTAGCCAACTGCAGCAAAAATTAGCTCAATACTGGTACCTCAATGAGCACTTATGATGCTCTTCCTTTTTACCTCGCTAGGTTTTCTTTCAATTATAAGCCCATGCACACAGTTCACCTGGATTAGCATTACATTTTTTAAATAGTAACACCATTAATTTCAAATTAATATCCAGCCTGTAGTAACAGGGATTTTATTTTTTGATGATAGAGGTTAAAATACTTTACACCTCACATGACAGTACTAAGAATATTATTAAGGAATCCTGGCTGTGCCATAGCTGAGGTGGTTAGTTGCCGGTTCCCAGTATAGTGGCCCATGTTTGATGCCAGATAAGGTTGTGTGGGATTCATGGTGGACAGAGTTGCATAGGGGCAGGTTTTCTTTGAGTACTTTGTTTCCCCCTGCCATTTCTCACTCCAACAAGTGCTCCACATTCATTAATTATCCTATAAGTGATGCTCTATAATCCCAGTACTGGTGATGCCATTAAATAACCAGCTTAAATAATTTAAGGAAATATTGGGTAATCACCTCAAGCCTTGCACCTTTTGCCATGCCTACTGTCACTTTGAATTCTGACTGTCCTCAAACTATAGGATCTGATCTCATGATACACTGGAAAAGGGTGCATATACATATTTGAATCTTTGATGATAATTATTTTTCATACAAGTATAAATAATAGTTAATATTTCAGTAAGTCTTTTAATTAAGAAATATTGACAGGCATGATAGTACATATGTATATTTTATCCTGTGTTCAAAACATCTTTGAAAGTGTGTCATTAGTTAGTGACACAGATCATTATGTCTTCATTAGAAAGTTACTAAGAGTCTACTTTCAAACATACGAGTATATGACTGGAACCAAAATTAGCATACTGGTGAGTTTATTGAACACGTGACATTTCATTTGCAAGGTTGTATACTTGAGATATTATGACATAAGCTCAGAGATGATTTAGATGGGCATTACGAAGTCTGTGTAGTGTATAAAAATATGCTAAGAAAGATGTTTATAATGCATTCTCCAAGATGTAACTGTTAGAGAGAATATCAAAATATCTGCCAAAGAAAGTCTAGGCTATTAGGAACTGAAGAAACATAAGCAATGGTTAGATGAAGGATACTCAGAATTATTATAAAGAAAACAAGCCAAACTGCAGTGGTTACAAGAACCAAGCGAAATAAATGGGGATAATTGGAGCAATATAAGACATGAAATCAACAGGCATTTCAGGAATAAAAAGAGGGAATATCTGAAAGACAAAATTGATGAGCTTGCAATGAACAGTAAGAATAAGCACATTAGATACCTGTGNATTTAAATGACCACGTCAGAGGGTTAGTGACGGATGAGAATAGTGATCTGCTTGCAGATTCCCACAGCATTTTGAATAGGTTGAGGAACTACTGGTATCAGTTATTGAATGTACATAGGGTCAGTGCTGTTAGGCAGACAGAAATCGATGCAGTTGAGCCGTTAGTACCTGATCCTAGCCCTTTTGAGGTTGAAAGTGCTACTGCAGAATTGAAACGGTATAAATCGCCAGGTAGTGATCAAATTCCAGCAGAAATTATTCAAGGAGGTGAAATATTACATTCTAAGATCCATAAGCTAATTAATTCTATTTGGAATAAAGAAAAATTGCCTGATCAGTGGAAGGAGTCTCTTATTGTACCAGTTCACAAGGGTGATAAAACTGACTATAGTAATTACTGGGGGATATCACTGGTACCAACTTCATACAAAATTTTATCCAATATTCTTCTCACAAGGTTAAGTCCATACATAGAGAAATTATTGGTGATCATCAATGTGGGTTCAACATAACAGATGAACTACTTATCAGATCTTTTGCATTTGTTAGATACTGGAGAAAAATTGGAGTACAGTGAGACATTACATCAGCTATTCATAGACTTCAAGAAAGCCTATGATTCAGTTAGGAGGGAAGTATTATACAATATTTTGATAGAGTTTGGGATACCCATGAAACTAGTGAGACTGATTAAAATGTGTTTAAATGAAATGTATGGTAAGTCCATATAGGTAAACATTTATCTGATAATTTTCCTATCCAGAAAAGCCTGAAACTGGATGTTTTATCACCACTGCTTTTTCAACTTTGCTATAGAATATGCCATTAGGAACGTCCAAGAAAACCAGGTGGGACTGAAATTAAATGGGACACATCAGCTGTTGGTTTATGCTGATGATGTGAATCTACTGGATGATAATATAGAGACCATAAAGAGAAAGACACATACTTTAATTGACGTTAATAAGGAGGAGACTACAAATAAAGCAGACGTTACTTGGTCTGAGATGCAGTGACAGTGAATGACTGGAATAAGGGAAGGGCACTGTGATAAAAATGAACATACTGTTTCATAAGATATTGACATTCCTGGAGCTTCTCCTGTAGTATTGCTAGGTAGCTTTCCCATTAACAGTGCCCTTAGAAACAGTAAGCATGGTAGCATCAGCATCGCAGAAAACAGTAATCATTTTTGTTATAAGCAAATCGGCATGCTTTTGGCACCTTGTCGCCATACTGAATAGGGGGATCCACCTCTCATCCATGGTGATAACTGTCCAAATGAAAGCATAATTCATTGGAGCACTGTATATAATCACTGCCCAACATATGTTGAAAGGTGCATCTTTCTGTTCCTGGGGACCTATCTACCTGCACCCTTGCACATTTTGTAATCTTTGTACAAAAAGGTATGCAGAAGTCCCACAGGTATGTTGATCAGCATCATTAGTTTGTCCATTGTCATTCATGTGTACTTTATAATCTGGCCTAATCGTAGCCAAGTTTGCTTTCAAAACAACTGAGGGACCCAATATAGTAGGTGTCTTCCCCTCTCACCTGAGGACAGAAACAGATCCAGTTTCCAAAACGTTGTGTTTTGTAGTTTTTAGAGTACCAGATGATGGAAAAAAGTAAACCCAGTAATTCTGAACTGTTTCTATGTTATCCATCGTGTCTCATTCTCATCCTTCCTCAGATTTATACCACACATTTTTCACATTCATAACAGCAGTATATTTCACTGAGTACTGGAGGGACTTGCTGATGAGATGCAGATATGTCCTAATAACATGATGCTCTTTCAATTGGAAAGAAGCCACTTCATTATTTCAACAGTACTGTCTGGTGTGGCATGCATAGTGCTGCCATTTTATGGGAGACCAGTCCTGCAGTAAACCTTAACAGAAGCATCATCCATATCAGTTCACAAATTCATACAACAGAGATCAGGAGACACTGTAATTTGAATGCACATAAAAAATTTGATACCAGTCAGTAGAAAAGGTTTACTGAACCCAAGATATTGTGTGGAAATTATAGTCAGATTTGTGTATACAGTTTATATTCTGATATAATGCCTTTGATATAAAATGTAGAGAAACTGTCTTGTTAGTTCAATAGGCATTGAAGAACATAACAATGTGCCTTCCTTTGTTTTCAGAGAGACACAAAAAATAACAGTGAACTGCTTTGTGTGATAATAGCTCAGATGGTATAGCAATGGGCTATGGTTTGGATGGCCAAGGTTTGATTCCTGGCAGAGAAAAAAAAATGTCTTCTTCACAGCATCCAGACCTACTGTGGGGTTCAACCAGCCTCCTATCCAATGGGTACCTGGGGTAAAGCGCCTGTGGTTTGAAGCTGACAACTGACCTTCATCTAATGCTGAGTTCAGGAATGGTGGAGCTATACCTCCATTCCCCCATACATCTTCATGGTGTGGTGATTAATCAAGCACAGGGATAACTTAACTTTTACACAAAACAAATGCCTTACTTTCCAGAATATGATATACTGTATTGCTAAAATTTGCATGCATCTTATAGTCTGAAAGTATTAGCAGGTCTTATTTTAAATGTTTCCCTCTAAGTCCAGGCATCTCATAGTCCAGAAAATACAGTTCCTTCAGCTGTTTTTTTACATTGTTTTATGCTTGATGAACTGCCTTCATATGCCTCACAATGTAAAGTGAAATAGACAGTAAAATATCGTATTATACCTGGAAAACAAATTTCTGCAGACTTCACAGACACTACTTTTGAATAACAATGTAATGATCACAGAGAGTAAGATCTTTGTTAGTCATTTGGGATTTGGCTGTCTTCTATTCTCCTTGCAGCAGGAATGTAAATTTTAAAAGAAAATTCATTCTTTGGGAAGGAGCCCTGTAAAAAGGAAAACAATGGCTTAAATATACCTTTACTGCAGATTAGTGTTCAGTGCTACAAGTGTGGGTAATAACAAGATCTTCGCTTTATTTAATGTGTAATCACTGTGATAACAACCAAAAACCATTCTTCCACAAGTGTTTGAAAATATATAAAAAAGTGTATTAGTTAATTTACTCATGCCTGGTGTGAACCGACTGTGTCATGAATTTTGGTCGATTAAAGATATTAGCAAAGCAGGTCTGATGTAGTGAAGTTTTTCCCATCTCACCAGGCATAATGCACTTATGCTGTGGAAGAGCTCTGGGAAGACAGGCACAGTTGGAGAGTCTTGGTTATTAGATGATCCACATAAAAGTGGAGCCGATCATAGTGGCCACACAGTCTAAGGTATGAACTTTCTTTGCTCATTCGAACACTAGATCATGGGTTTAAAACCCACTCAAGGCATGGATGTCTGTGTGTGGGTAGCGGCCTTGCGATGGGCTGATCCCCCATGCAAGGAGTCTTACAAACTGTGTATAGGATTAAGAAACTGAAATAGTGGGGAAGGTTCAAAGAAAGGACTGTAGAGCTATAGACAGACAGACAGACAGACATAAAAGTGGAAACATCAAAAGAAGCAGCGCTGTTACCAGTGAAAATTATGTGTCAGGTGTTCGAATCATCAGGAGTATACCATGTCATTACTTGGATCTGAATTTACTTTTGCTTTGCAAAAGTTACTCTACAATTAATATACAAAGCAGTGTTTACTAGATACTTACGGGATTCATGACTTGGCAGTCCATGTAAGTGGTGGTAAATGCATTGCTTTGGTCTGCTGTGACCACGAGATCGGGAAGAGGATAGAGATGCAGTGCTCTGTCAAATGACCAGTATACTGGACAGACAGACAGCGGCAATGGCGCCAGATGAGCTTGGCATAAGATTGTCTTCGCAAACTGGAAGTAGTAATACACTATGGTAAATTAATCTTCATATATGAAATCTGTAAACCAAATCAGCTTTTTATAAGCATTATTAACACAGAGTGAAGGCTGTGTACCATATTAATTTGTATGTCTGAATTTAAAAAAAACTAATTTCTTCATCATCTGTAGTGTTCAGTATACAGGATGTAAATAAATATGTGTTACAACACTCTGTGGTAGATAGATGGGTTCAATGAAATCATATTTTGTTAATACACCCATGTCCAGAATCCTTTCCTAAGTTTCTGAGAGGATGCATAAATTTAAGGGGAGGTTATCGTTGTTTTACATTATAAAAGTTTCTCAAAATGGTGACCGCTGACTTCATTGCATGTTCTGCTCTGCCTGGCTATGTTATGCTGAACTCTTTGAAAGATTCCCCACATTTCCCGGATGGTTCCAGCTGCTATTGCAATTCTTGCCACAAGCTGATGTTGTCTCTCCACTGGAGTCAAGTCAGAGGAGCAAGGGGGTCAGGTTATTGGACCTCCATGCCCAATCCATCTGTTGTCAAAAGTTTCATCGAAATACAGACGTTAGTGCAGTGTGCTGGGGCGCCATCATGCTGGAACCATATTTCACGACGGACTTCCAAAGGCAGCACTTCCAGAAGCTCGGGTAAGGTATCTTGGAGAAATGTTAGGTAAATGTCACCAGTGAGCCCCAGAGGTAAGAGGTAAGGGCATGTAAACAAAGCATTTCCGGATATCAATGTGTTAAAAAAATATGATCCCATTGGACCTATCTGTCTACCACAGAGTGTTGTAACATATATTTATTTACAACATGTATATTCTTCATGAAGTTGCAACACTGAGAACTAATGTGTTGACATATGTTCATATCTGACGAAGACCAATATTCCCACATGTGCTGCTTTGTATTTGGGTAGTTCTGGATCCAAATATTAATCTTTATACTAATTATCCTAGGAGCTGGGATAGCGTAGTCGGTATAGCGAGTGGCTATGGGCTGGACGACCGAGGGATCGGAGTTTGTGTCCTGGTAGGGTCAAAAATTTTCTCTTCTCCATGTCGGGGTCTATCCAACTTCCTATCCAATGGGTACTGGGGGCTCTTTCCCCGGGGGTAAAGCGGCCGGGGTGTGAGGTTGACCACTTACCTCCAGCTAGTACAAAGGTCAAGAAAATGTGGATCTATACATCCATTCCCACTTATGCTCTCATGGCACAATGCTTAGTTAAGCACAAGGACTTTACCTTTTTTATCTTGCTAATTATCATACTATATTCAGAGGTGAGCATTTCTTTGCTCTTGAATGGGCATGGTTCCAGTGAATGCTAATCTAGGTAACACTGATTTAAGCAGTGATCACTGGTACAGCCTGGTGACCAGCTACCTCAACCATTTTATTGTTTATTGGGATGAAGTGATGTAACTCCGTAACTTGCTGGATTTCTGACGTTTTCTTGACTAAGATATGTTCACTGAGTCACAGACATTAATTAACATGAAAGCTGTAATGGAAATTAAAATAAATTTGTCATATTTATGTAAGATAATAAAATGTTTCAAATGTGAAATGAGCAGGTATGGAACAGAAAGAAAAAACGCTTTTCAGTCCATCACTTAACTGCTTACTGCCTAATGCAACCACTAGCCAGTGTAATGTTAACAGTGATCCCAGTCACAAATGTATGTCAGTTACCATACCAGTTGAGGCCGCGCTATAGCTCAAGCAGTTAGTCGCTGGCTTCCCACCGCGGCAGCCTGGATTTGAACCTGGGTCTGGTCAAGTTGGATTTGTGGTGGACAAAGTGACGCTGGGGTGCGTTTTCTCCGAGTACTTCGGTTTCCCCTGCCAATCTTCATTCACCAAATTCTCCATCATCATAAATAATCACCCGGGGCAGGTACAATAGGCCAATCAGTGGCTGCCATGCCAAGTGGACCCAGCTGACTCCACACCCACTAGCGAATCACCATACCAGTTCCGGTGAGTCAGATCTCTCCAGCACCTATCTGTTTACTGGTTTCCAAACAGTGATTCCAATCACAGTTACTTCAGACAATGAGTGACTGGTTATGATGGAAACTTTCAAGTAACGGTGATCAAATTATTGTTATCAATATGTCACTTGTCTCTAAATCATCACTCCTTGCAAGCAAATGCTTGACTAGTGCTTTCGATTAGGTAACAACAGCTTCCTTCTGCATTGCTTATAATATTCTGCTTTGTTCTACTAGATATAAAAGTGATAGAGAATTATTAAATAAACCAAGAAACTTCCAAATTCACATCATTCTATAATGTGTAATGGGATTTTTAATGCAAATTTATAGATTTATACAACAAATATATCCTGATTTTTTTATTAATGAATGCATCTTGTTGTGTATCATATATTATTTCTTAATGAAAACCGTCACAACACAACATCAATAACATTTGTAAGCAGCTCCAGAAGATACCTTCGCTACATGTTCCGGCCTTTAATAAGGCCATCATCAGGCAAATACATTAGATCTTTCGTTACTGAATTGTATGTTAGATATAAGTCACAGTGCTAAATTTCCAAGTATATACAATAGTATAAAATGATATGAGTGAATACAAAATAAATTACAATAATAGTTAGAATCCTAAATGATCAGTTACATACTCAAAAGTATAGTTAAAGATTGGATATGCGATGGTACTTGGAAGTTGGTAGTTGCAATTGTAATACATGTAATACGTATACTTGTAATATATCTCTCCATCAAATAGTATTACATATTAAACAATAACATACAACATAACAACGGACCTCCGAACACCATATCAGCTTTTGTGTATATAATATGTCCGTATAAGTATTACATGTACTAGCTTCAGTCTACCTTCCACATGACTCGGATGAACCACCACTAACTAAGGAAATGAGGGACATCATAGACTACTGCTTTAGCAGGAAAAAACAACTCATCATTGGGTGTGATGCCAATGCACACCACATCTTGTGGGGAAGCACTGGCACTAACCCAAGGGGAGAGAGCCTTATGAAATTTCTGGTGAGTTCGAACCTGAATATTCTAAACCATGGTAACTAACCTACCTTTGTAGTTTACAATAGGAAGGAGGTTATTAATTTGACACTAGGGGCAAATAACATAGGAAACCTGGTAAGTAATTGGCATGTATCTGATGAGATGTCTTTATCGGACCACAGATACATATGCTTTCAAATAGGTAACATAACAACACAAAGCTACCTTCAAGAATCTCAGAAGAACCAATTGGGACTTGTACAAGGACGACCTAAAGGTGAACTTGGAGATTATTCGCGAACTATATGCATGATAAGGGACATATATCGATCTGTTGACCAGTTGCAACGGGCCGTCATCTTGTCCTATTATCATAATTGTCCAGCCAAGACCACTCGCTTACCAAGGAATGCACCTTGGTGGAATAAAAAGCTGAGTAGGCTAAGAGTTAAAACAAGAAAGCTATTTTATATAGCAAATAGGACAGGGTGGTGGGACACCTATAAGGAAATCCTCATATGTTACAATAAAGAAATAAGGAAAGTCAAACGATCATCATGGAGGAGGTACTGCCAGGAGATCAACGATGTACCAGGCAGTGCCAGACATGAGGGTCATGGCAAAACAGGCGACAAATAAGGTCAGCTCTATCAAGCTGCCTGATGGCAAGTATACACAAACTGGAGAAGAGGCACTGAAGGAACTGTTCAAAGTTGATTGATGATTTGGTTGATGACCGGGGCCAGCAGAACCTGGACGTATGTGGATACATAACAAACAGGGGAGACTGGAACCTGGCAGGTCGGGTAATCAATCAATCAAAAAGCAGATGGGCGAAATCCTACTAGGAATCCCCCCCATTACATTTGCAGATGGAAGCAGAGGCCAAGTTAGGAAATTACAGATTACATTACAATAATCAATGGAGACCTAAATCCAAGGTTTTGGACATGCATACATAACTTGGGACATGAAAAAAGAACTCATCCTACAGATGGGATCTGATAAAATGCTACTGAAACATGTTTATGATAAGACCCTGCACAATCAAGATTTCCTGATAGAAGTGAATGGAAAGAGGGGTTTCAACCTAATAGAAAGGTGGGACTAATCTGGTATACAGATGGTTGCAAGACAAATAAAAGCACTGGAGCTGGGGTGTATTGTGATGGAATGAGGCGGAAGCATACCTTCAGCCTCGGTAAGTACACAACAGTATTCCAGACAGAGGTGTATGCCATTAAGGCATGCACAGTTGAGAATTTAAATAGGAACATCTATATCCTATTTGGCAGTCAAGCTGCAATTAAAGCACTTGGTACACACCAAATCACTTCAAAATTGATTTTGGACTGCCACCAATCCCTCATACAACTGACCAGACATAACAGAGTACAACTGATATGGGTGCCAGGTCATGAGGGTATTGCAGGGAATGAGACGGCAGATCAACTAGCAAGAACAGGATCTGAACAGCCATTCATAGGATCTGAACCAGCTTGCGGCATCTCGGTAGGAGAGTACTGCTGGGAATGAAACCACAGATAAGCTGGCAAGAACAGGATCTGAACAGCCATTCATAGGATCTGAACCAGCTTGCGGCATCTCGGTAGGAGAGTACTGCTGGGAATGAAACCACAGATAAGCTGGCAAGAACAGGATCTGAACAGCCATTCATAGGACCTGAACCAGCTTCCGGCATCTCATGGAGTTGCCAAGAGAGCGATCAGGGACTGTACTAACAGAAATCACAAAAATCAGGACCCTCTGCCAAAAGAACGAGGGACCTGTTGAAATTACACAGAAATCAACTCAAATGGGTGGTAGGATTACTTACTGGACACTTCCACCTAAAAGGACACCTTTCCAAACTGGGACTGACAGAGGACCCAACTTGTGAGAGGTGCCTACGAGACGATGAATCAGCCCCACACATCTTATGTGATTGTGAGGCTATAGCTTATTTAAGATATTGCCACCTGGGTCAATTCTTCATGGAACCAAGTGACTTTTATGATGCCCACATAAACAAAGTCCCACATTTCATTAGAAGTGTAGGATTAAAAAAGGGTTAATCCAAAGGACAAGCACAACAGATCATTGAAGGTTGCAGTGTGAGGGCCAATGTTATGGCTCACCCCTCATACTCATATATTTAACATGCAATTCAATAATCAAAGATCTACTGTATTTGCCTGATGATTGCCTTATTGAAGGCCGAAACATGTAGTGAAGGTATCTTCTAGAGCTGCTTACAAGTGTTATTGATGATGTGTTGTGATGGTTTTCAGTAAGAAATAAATATGTCCTGTTTCATCATTAGAGGACTTGTGGTACTTACATGTTCTGGAATTTCTCCTGAAGTGGGAAAGTGGATTGTGTTACGACACATCTTTGAAACAAGATCTTCCCTTATGACTACAATCTCTTGCGTGCAGTATTGAATGCGACAAGGATTGGAGGTAAAGATGGAAGATGGGATTTTTCGTTGAAAATCTTCTGTGATTATTTTTGGTAAAGGCATCCTGCAAATGAAAAAAAATATTCCAAAATGCTGTATGTCAATGTATGTGTACATTAAACATTCAGAGATGCCAGCGGTTCAAGTTTACTATGTCAGGCATTCTTTCCTTTCTTAATATCTTGTACTGTTTTGCTATGAAGTTCTACCATATCAGGATTCATGTCTGTCTTGCCCTAATAATGTGACTTGAAAAAGTCAAATTTTATTAATTCCATAAATCAAAGGTCATTTCTTTCAAAGGAACCTCTTATGGAGTATTATTAGTGTAATTAAATGAACCCCAATAATTTTTTTTCCTTTTTACTGGCTGTACAGCCCCATTGGGCCCTGGCCTCTGACTTTTCAGTTTCACGATCATTTTACAGACAGTAGGACTCCGTAGACGAGTGATCAGCTTGTCGCAAGGTCTCTACCTAAACACAGGACAACACAAACACAGAATAAACAAATACACATACCAAACATCCATGCCTTATGTGGGATTCAAACTCACGATCCTGGCTTCCAAGCAAGCGAAGACAGTACATGTCTTAGACCGCTCGGCTACCATGACCATCCATAATTTAAAATACTCTTCTGTAATTAATATTTCTTGTATGTACTTAAAACATCCTAGCTATTGATATTGCAAAATTGAAATGGTGTAAATTCCCAGGTAGTGATCAGATTCCAGCAGAACTTATTCAAGCAGGAGGCAAAATATTATGTTCTAAGATCCACAATCTAATTACTTCTATTTGGCATAAGGAAAATTGCCTGATCAGTGGAAGGAGTCTATTATTGTACCAGTTCACAAGAAGGGTGATAAAACTGACTGTAGTAATTATCGGGGGATATCACCGTTATCAACTGCATACAAAATTTTGTCCAATATTATTCTTTCAAGGTTAAGTCCATATATAGATGAAATTATTGGGGATCATCAGTGTGGGTTTCGACGTAACAGATGAACTACAGATCAGATCTTTTGCATTCGTCAGATAATGCAGAAAAAATGGGAGTACAATGAGACAGTACATCAGCTATTCAGAGACCTCAAGAAAGCCTACGATTCAGTTAGGAGAGAAGTATTGCACAATATTCTGATAGAGTTTGGGATACCCATGAAACTAGTTAGGTTGATTAAAATGTGTTTAAACGAAACGTATAGTAAAGTCTGGGTAGGTAAACATTTGTCTGATAAATTTCCTATCCAGAATGGTCTAAAACAAGGAGATGCTTTATCGCCACTCCTTTCCAACTTTGCCTTAGAATATGCAATTAGGAAGGTCCAGGGAAGCCAGGTGGGACTGAAACTAAATGGGACACATCAGCTGTTGGTCTACGCCGATGATGTGTATCTACTGGGTGATAATGTAGATACCATAAAGAAAAACACACAAACTTTAATTGACGCAAGTAAAGAGGTTGGTCTAGAAGTAAACACAGAGAAAACTAAGTATATGTTACTGTCTCGTCACCATATGCAGGGCAAAATCAAGACATAAGGATAGGAAACGGATGTTTTGAAAGTGTGGCACAATTAAGATATTTGGGAACAACAATAACAGATCAAAACCTGATTCAGGAGGAAATTAAGAGGAGATTGAACTCGGGTAATGCTTCCTACCGTTCAGTCCAGAACCTTGTCTTCTCATCTGTTGTCCAAAAATATAAAAATTAGAATATACAAAACTATAATTTTGCCAGTGGTTCTGTATGGGTGTGAAACTTGGTCTCTGACATTAAGGGAGGAACACAGACTGAGGGTGTTTGAGAACAAGGTGTTGAGAATATTTGGACCAAAGAGAGATGAAGTGACAGGAGGTTGGAGAAAACTGCATTATGAGGAGCTCCATAATTTGTACTCTTCTCCAGGTATAATTAGAATGATCAAGTCAAGGAGGATGAGGTGGACAGGTCATGTAGCACGAATGGGGGAGATGAGGAATGCGGATAGGATATTGATGGGAAAGCCAAAAGAGACCACAGGGAAGACCAAGGCGTAGGTGGGAGGACAATATTAGAATGGATCTTAGAGAGATAGGATGGGATAGATCTGGCTCAGGATACAGACCAGTGGAGGGCTCTTGTGAACACGGTGATGAACCTTCGGGTTCCATAAAATGCTGGGAAATTCTTGAGTAGCTGCAGAACTGGCGGCGGCTCAAGAAGGGCTCAGCTCCATGAGTAAGTAAGTAAGTATGTACTTAAAACTGAATTCAGTGGTGACAACAATACACACGACATCAGAGAAGAGTTTTGATTATTATAAGACAGTACTGTTAATATAAAACTAAAGATATTTTAACATTTTGTGGAACTATAAAATGCACACTACTTGAGAATTGACACGTGTAAAATGTTACTAAAATTCTATACAATCATAGCCATACCTCCACTTCTATATGGATACCAATGTTGGCATTAACAGATGAAAGGAACGGATTGTATGAATGTATTTGTGCAGAGCAGTTACAAGACATAAAGTATCATGAATGGAGATGAGCTGAGAATTGTAGTAATTAGAAGAAACTGTTGTATAATTTGGAATGCTTGAAAATCAAATCCAAAGGCCAGTGTAGATGCCAGAGATACTTTACAAAAGGATGGATCAGTTTTAATCCTTATAACCTGAACTGTTGAGACTAGATTGTGAAATTAGTTGTAGATAGTCAGGTTAGTGTTAAATGGCCGACTTCATGTTAGTGATACTGAACCTTCAGATTCATTGTCAGAAAATCAATTCTCTCCCTGCTGCATGTGCAAAAGTGATGTACCCAGTGTTTTGAAATCACGTAGCCAGAAACCCCAAATATGTGTCCCATTTCATTTGTTTCATTATATAATGTATATTGATGATAGTGCATTCACCTTGGTAATATATTAGGGGATGCTGGGTCAGAAGGCCCTGGCACAAATATGAATTTGCTTTTCTCACTCAATTCTGGAAACTGAGCAATGAGGTCACCCAGGGCCTTAAACCTTGTTTTGAGGGTAGTTGCATGTGAGCTGCCTTGTTGTGATGACAGGAAATTGCCCATAAAGACAAAAGCCACTGGTGGATAATCTGCATAACCTGCAAAGAGCACTTGGAGCTTTTCCATTACCTGCAAGAAAATTCATTATTTTCCTGACAACAAAAATTTACATGTGTAGACATGTTCATGTGTCAACGCTTATGTGAGAAGTGCACATTTCTATGTTTACTAAACCTAGTAGCATAACATATGCTTCTGTCAGTAATAGGCATTCACTGCCACTTCTTCCAGCTAGTCATTCTGTGTGTCAGGTAATAAGATCATTTACAGACCTTAATGCTGTCCAACCACATGTCAGACAAAAACACCAGCACTGCATCATCATTCTCAAGTTCATATCTTGACAGTTTTGGAGAGGTTTTGAGACTAACTTTTGAAGGTCCTCCAAAAGTGTTCACATTTCCAAAATATGCTCTGGAAAATAAAGGATTAAGGGATCAGTGAGTCAGATCAATGGACAAGTAACTTTAGACACTGAAATCAAATAATGTGAGCCTGTTGGAATGTGCTTGTGTCAACTGAACTACATTTCTTGACAGTATGGTAAGTGCAGGTACGTCACTGTGAATACCCTTCATAGACTTTCTACTTGCCATTTGACTTGTTACTCCACTGTCTGTTACATTCACTTCTATTCTAGAATAGCATCATAAATGTAAATAAATATTTAACACACCGACTAGTATCTGCAGGCTCTGGTGGTGGGAACCCCACACCAGAAACATGAAATATTCTATCTTCGTAACATCCTTCAGCCAATACAAAACAATTTTCAGTGTGAAGGCCTGTGTGATATCTGTGGAGGTTGGTTAAGGTTATTCAGCCCTTTCATTGTGCTCAGTCGAGGATGATTCAGCCAACTGTGTTGACAGAACTAACTGAAGCCCGATAATTTTCATAGTGTATATGAAGTTTGTAATTGGACTGAACTGAAGAAGACAAGGCTTTTGTAGTGAAAGAGATGAACCACTGGTCTATAGCTAATTTCTGAGATAAATTAATTACTGCAACTGCTTAGGACTGCCTGTATCATGGAGTGAGTTAGAACCTCACCATCTGGCTTTCCTTGAACGTTTATGTTTACTATATAAAGCAGACAGCACTGAAAAAGTTTACTGTAATCAGAAGAAATAAAAGATGAAAAGTATTATTAACTCATGCAGACATTGGTCTGGAAATAAATGTATAATAATCACCCCCACACATTTCATGGAAGCTGTAACCATATGTTCACCAGAGCCCACCACTGACCCCTACCCTGGGCCAGTTGAATCCAGTCCATGCCCTCACATTCAGTTAATTTAAACCCCTGCTTTAACAGTAACCTCTGCCTATGCCAGTTTTACAAGTGGTTTCTTCCTTTCAGGCTTTTCACCTTAAACTCTGTATAAATTTCACATCTTCCCCATGCGTGCTACAGTCCAGCACATATTATTCTTGGTTCGATAACCACAGTTACACTTGGATAGATACAAATTATGAAGCTTCTCATTATGCAGTTTTCCCTATCCCATTAGTAGACCTCTCTTAGGACCTTCCTTTTTTTAGATTTAATTTCCTGGAAAGTAAAATATGAAAAAAGGTCAATAATGAAATTACATGCAAACGAAGGAAATCTTACTATTTGTGACCTATTATATTTACTCTCTTCTAATCTACTTTCCAGAAAACTAAACATCAAAATCATGCTTTGTTTTGTATAATTCTAATTCTGAAGGGGAAAATTTAAATCCAAGCATTGAGGTCTGAGGAAAATTATGTTATTTAATGATACTGTTTCAACTTCATATGTTAGATAATGTCAAATGGGATGGGAAGATGCCATGAATGGTAAGTATTCTGGTTTTAGAAGGAAATAGTTGTGGCCAATCTGAATGCACTATTCTGGAATCTGCTTGGGAACCTAAGGACAGCCACTGGGGGAACTTAAAGGAGTTCAGAATTTGTATATTCTTGTGGAACTTCTGTATCTCTATGGTTGAGATGAGCCAGGAATGGAGAAAAGAAATTTTGGAGAGGGAATGGCCATTTGGAGTACCTAGGTTTAGGCTAGATCAGGGGTCTCCAAACTTTTCAAAACGCGGGCCACATTAGGTAATTCAGCACTTTCAACAGGCCGGATAAAATGAGAAATTAATAACTCTAGGTATATGAGTTTTATTGAAAGCACAGAATTTCATAAACTAAATACAAAGTACGTGAGAATAAATTATCGTATATTAATGACAAGAGACAGTAGCAGCAAATGCTCATATTTTCATCGCAAATTATAATAAAACAATTAATGTGAATGACTGAACTCTTTTTGCAATCTTAGAATCTGATTAAATTGAGGTGATGATGATCTGTTACAATTACACTACACCACTGCAAGAAGTTTTGTGCACAAGACGGCTAGTAATGAACCGCTCGCGCTACCTACATTGCCACGAAGTGACACTGCCGATCGAGGCCGAACAAGTACGAAGAAATAACGCACAGTATACGGTCCAGAATTAGTAAAGTTGTGAATAATATTAATATTAACATAATATGGAATATCAATATATTTTAAACACAATCTTAATTAATGAATTTGAAATCTATGAACAAGTACTCATTGGAAAATTAGTTCAATTGGCGCATTTCTGCACAATTCTTTCACAGGCCGGATGTGGCCCGCAGGCCGGATGTGGCCCACAGGCCGAAGTTTGGAGACCCTTGGGCTAGATGAAGAATTGGTGGTGGTGTTAAATCATTGTGAAAGTGACTCAGGGTATAGTCCTGTGATGATGGTTTCATGACACAATGGAGCTATCACATTTAGTGATTAGTAAAGGATATTGCTTCTGACAGATCCAACTGCAGAATTCCTGTAGGGTCTTCAAGATAATAACGTCCCTCACGCAACTGTGTAAGGAGGCCAAGAACAATTGCTTCTTTCACTTTTCCTGAGGAACCCAGAAGAAACTCTATGGGTTGCAGCTTAAATTTGCAGCTAGCATCATCTGAATTTGCACCCAGTATGGCCGGAGCGAACAGTTCGTGTCGCAGAGTACGCTGATGGAGAATAGTATACCTGATACAAAATATATAAAAGTATTCACAAACATTGGTGGTCTTGTCAAAAATATACAGTGAAGTCTAGTAGAAGTCTCCAAAACACATTTGTTCTACCTACAGTTTCTAGGATTCCTTTTTGTTTGAAACTCAGATTTCATTACAGTAATTAAGTTTTGAATCTAATGTGATTTTGTATAGGAATACTTTGGTATCAACTGACATTTGTGGGCCAAAACTTCTTTCAATCATGTCATTATTGTATTGCAGCTTTATGTAAATGTATCTTTCTTCTGTTCTCAAATCATGTAAATAAACAAGTAAATAAAATTACATAATTATTCTATTACTTTTTAACTTTTATTTTCAATCTTTACACTCTGTTTCTTCTTCTTCTTTTTCAGTTTTTAATCTCTGAAAAGTCATATGCTGAAATTTCATTACAGATTGAAATTCTCAAAGGTGATCATTCAAAATATAAAATATCTCCTTAGATCTTCTTGCCAATGTATATTATTAAACTAGTCTAATAGGGCTTTAATCAGGTTTTAACCATCTTGATGTAGTCCTGTTATAGATTTCACCTCCTTACCTGTCCCTGAAGAGGCTGGCTTTTGCTGATGGCAAGTCAAAAAGATGTGGCAGGTCTACATGGCCATTGCCAATATTTACTTTCAAAAATTTTTTTCTCTCTGAATTGTATTCAAAACGAGGAACTTCAAATGCACTGATAATGTTTAAAACTGTCTCAGTTTCATCCAAGCCATTTCTAATACAATCCTGCAAATATATAACAAAATTATGACTTAAAGTATAGCAGAGTTGATCTTGTAGCATTGTGTCCTGTTTTTGGTGTTTCAATATTAATAGAGGTGTTGACTCTACATAAATAATGGTTTTTATTGCTCAATTCACAACATGTTTCAGCCCATATAGGCCATCATTATCTAACACACCCAAGGTTAACCAACAAATTCCATACTAGCATTGTATTTTATGTAATACCAGAAAAGCTGACAACCATCCGACTTAGTTCAGAGTATCCAAGAACATGTGTTTTGGTTTAATTTTTAATCTCCAATATTGTTAAAATTGTGATATGAATGTTTAATTTTAAATTAAAATGTTTATATAGAATCAAGTCAGATCTGAGACACCCAAGGTTAACCAGCAAACTCCATACTGCCATGGTAATTATGTAATCTGCCACTAGTTGTGTATTCCTCAAGTTCACCTGATGATTTTACATTTACATTTATTTTCACTTCATGGATTCAATCATCTCACCATAGGGCTGGATATAAAACATGTCACACATTACAAATTCATGATGACTACACATCATTCGTCCTTGGTCCAATACCATATATAATCAGGCCTCACGGAGACAGCACAGGTTGTCAAGACTACACACATAGGCCATGGGAAAACCACTGTCAAATTCACACCTTGTCATTTCACATCATCATATCATCAATACAGTTTCTTTATAACACATTGACATTCATAACAAACATAGATGTCATACATACTACCACACTTACATCAAACAAGTCACAGCAACTTATAATACAAGCACACAGATCATTTATTAACTCTTAACTTTAGAGTGCCTTGCATGCTCAACAAATTCATCAATAGAGTAAAATGAGTAAGTAAAGTAAAAGTAAAGCTATCCCTGTAAAAGGCCGTGAAGGCCCATAGGGTTGTGAGACATTGAGGGTCCCACATTATCTAGACAATCGGCTCAAAGATGGCGGTAAGGTTGTCAGCCTTACGCGCCGGCCGCGCTTTACTCCCCAGGAAAATTATTTAATTAATTCCTGGTACTTGTTTCTGTTAGAGGCTGAGTCGACCCCAGGGCCATAGTGCGGCTGGAAGGATACTTTGCAAATAATTTCGTAAAACGAACCTAAATTGATTTTTATCATTTTTTAAAACAGATATTTGACGGCAGAGTGTTAAATAGCTTGACACCTGAATAATACACCCCTCTCTGATAGGATGATAAATGTGTTGTAGGTACATGAAGGTGGTCATTCCTTCTTGTACCAATCATATATACAGAGTTATTGATCTGAAACTTATCCAAATTATTAACAACAAATGTCATCAATGAGAGCAAGTATACACATGGGATTGGTAGTATGTCAAGGTTTTAAATAAGTCTCTACATGTATGAGTTGGGCCCACTCCCACCATTATTCTTATTATTTTCTTTTGCATAACAAAGACCTTATGACTGTCTGATGTATTTCATGATGCTTTGGATAAAAATTTTCCAGGAAGATGGATTGGATGACGTGGTCCAATTTCTTGGCCCCCAAGATCACCTGACAAGCCCCACTGGACTTCTTCCTCTGGGGATATGTCAAAGACATTGTTTATAAGACACAGGTGAGAGACATCGATCAATTAGAAACCAGAGTAAGAGACGCAATAACCACTGTGGATGTTGGTATGCTTGCCTGAACCTGGCAAGAAATAGAATATCGTCTTGATATTTTATGTGCAACAAATGGAGTACATGTACAAACACAAAACGTTTTCAGTTTCTCAATCCAACAATGTAACCAGTTTATTTCTATCTTCATTATTTTCCGAATTATTAAAGATCAAAATGTGTCAGACCTTTTGTAGGCACCTGTATTATTCCATATTTCACCAATGTACGATAATAAACATAATATACAGCTTTAAGACTATTAATATATAAGATATTTTTCTCATTAGAAAACCAACTGTGCTCAACTTATGAAGCAAAAAACCTATATGTCCCTCACAAGTCAGATGGTTATCCAGCTGTAAACTGAGAAATTTTATCATTTCTACTTCTTTCAGAATTTTGTTAAAATACAAGGCATATAGAAGGTAGCCCGTAGCTGCTGTTGGGGTGAATTTTATCATTTTTGTTTTTCCAGATTTAACACAAATTGATTAATTTGAAACCACATAAACATATGATTAAAAACAACATCCAATTTTATTTTTAAATTATAGTAGTCTTTAGCTGTGCAAAGAATACTAGTGTCATCTGCAAACATAATAACTTCAGAAATTGTACTTATTTTAAGGGGGAAGTCATTTATGTATATATTAAAGAGTAAGTGTCCCAGCACCGATCCCTGAGGCACACCACATCCAACAATTTCCCAGTTGGAATAATATTTATTATTTATATAATTTAATTCCACTCTTTGCCTCCTATACTATAGGTAAGATTTGAACCACTGCAATAATACACCCTGCACTCCATAGACTGTAGTTTCATTAACAGAAGTTCGTGATTGACGCAGTCAAACGCCTTGGCTATATCACAAAATATACCAGTTACATACTCTTTTCTATTCCAAGCTGTAAGTATTACATTGGTTAATTTATATATAGCATCTTCAGTTTATAACCCCTTTTGGATTCCATACTGCTCTGAAAGTAATATTTTGTTTTACGATATGATCACTGAATCTTCTAAAAATTGCTGTTTCAAATACTTTTGCAAACCCAGTTACTATTGATATTGGCCTGAAGTTACTCATAACAGCCTTTTCCCCTTTTTTGTATACTGACTGCATATTTTAATCTTTCTGGATATAGACCCATGGCTAGTGACTTATTAATTACATAAGTTAGAGGTTTACGAATTTGTTGTCTGCACAGTTTTATAATTTTATTAGTTATGTCATCATAACCTGAAGAGTTTTTTTTATTTTAATTTGTTAATTATGCTAATTGTTTCCTCTTCTGCAACTTAAATTAAAATTCATATCCGGAGAACCATTAGGGAAATGGGGATGCAAACAAGACATTGCAGTATAAACATTAGTTTTCTTAATATTATTATTAATTTTCTGTTATTGATGTGAAATATTTGTTAAAACTATGAGCAGCTTCATCAATATTTCTTTTTACTATTATTTTTAAAAGTCTGAGGTAGACGTTCTTTATTATTATTATTGTTGTTATTACTCCCTGTTTCAGTGTCAATAATGTTCCAGGTAGTTCTTATTTTGTTTTCAGCTGACATAATTAGCTGATTATAATATTTCCTTTTAGCTTCTCTTATTATTCTTCTTAATATCATGCAGTAGGATTTACAGTACGATTTAAAACAAATAGTTGTCATTGTTTTTACTGAGAAAGAGCAAAGATTCCTTCCGTCTACAGGCGGTACATATTCCAACTGTTATCCAGCCATTATCATTACGTTCATTTGTTACATTTTGCTTTGGAAAGCATGACTCATAGACAAATACTTATTTAAAAATAAACTGAATAATTCGTTTACATCATTAAGTTTATATTTATTTTCAAATTTTTCATTAGATAGTTTATTAAGAAATTGTGCAGTTGAATCTTCATTTACTAATCTTGTTGTGATTCCCTGCACTTTTTTCTTCTCCAGGTTATCGATATTTTTTAGTGCAAGACACTGAGCATCGTGATCTGCTAGTCCATTACTGATAGAGATAACATCATATGAATTTATCCTTGCATTATCAATAAAAATATGATGGTCTGTATGGGCCAAAACATGTTGTGAATTGAACAATAAAACAATTTGTTTGTGTGATGACAACACCACTATTTGAATTTACAGCAGAGTTAAGTTTATTTGCATTCCATAGATTCTTCTTTGGGTTAAACTAAAGGATATAGAATATGCCATAAGTACACTTGTAAATATACACAAAGCTTAAGAATTTTTAAAACAAATACAAAATTAAGAATTAATGGCATTAATAATTAAAATACATCACTCAAGAACTGAAAAGAATTAAGATTACCCGAATTGCTAATTCAATGTGCTGCTTCTCCAGTACCGGGCTTACAAGCGATTGCTTCTGAATATGTTCTGTCAATTTCTCAAGCCATTCATCATACTCTGTTTCAACTGGCAAGAGCTGGGTAACCAGCAGGTTGCATGCCTCACTGAAATATGATGGAAGAAAACTTTCTAGTCACTAAACGAAACAAAGTAGTCCAGTGTTATAAAGAGAAGATTCATCAGTTCCATTTTTTTGTCCTTTCACCAGCACCTTGACATTTCTTGTGGCCTCTTTCCACAATACATCATAACCAAAATTGTGCATGCATAGAGATACAACTCCTAACTTAAACATTCATACTATTTAGTGCACTTCATTTTCATATAATTACTAAAACCGAGTATCAGAGAGACTGTCTTATCTGTAAGAATCACACACCTTCTTAAGGAGAAACCGTGGAGTTTAAAAGTTGTTAATAACCTCTTCTTCAGCTTCTCGTCCATTTTTATTTCCCGCGGTTTTCGTGTGACGTACCAGGCACAGATGCGTAGTAAATCAGCAACTCCCATGGTGACAGAAATCTTTGGATCCTCATGATCGTTCCGGGGGATGTTACGTGCAATGACTTGCGTGTGTGTTTTTAGACCGTTATAGACAGTTTGAAACGCTCGGAAAAGGAAATGTTGGAAGGTTGTCGAATGTGAGACGTATATGGTTTGTTTTAAAAATGTATTCCATACAGAATGGCCAGAGTGTTTTGGTTGTATGGGGTTCAACTCCTGCACCTGAAACGTTTCAAAATATGATAGAAAAACTGCGGAAACTTACTGGGCCTTTGGGAAATGTTCGTGTTGAAAATGTTGATCGGCTAACAATGGGTATGTATTTAATTAATGAATGAGCATGTTCAGTTGTAGAAGTGTCATCTGTATATCATGCTAGTTTTAAAAGAAGTGGTACCCTCTCGAATGTAAGGAAAATGTCCCGACACATATCGTTCCATATCATATGTTAATGAGAGGTTAAGTGGTCGTATGCCAGGACCCTCAAGTGATGTTTTAAATGTGATAATATATCACACTTTATGACGAGAATACCGACTGAAGGTTTTGTGATTTTTCTGTTTTTCAAAACAAATTCCGTGATAATGTCTTGAAATAGGTTGTGACTGCTTTCTGCCGAGCAGATTTGTGTAGAAGTAATGTCCTAGTTTTAGGGAGGTGTTCATTTCCAGTCTCAGCAGGGACAGGGGCTGACCTGACAGTTTTTTAGTGTTCAAGAGGCCCTTAAGGCAAATGCTGCGATAGTACTTTTATTAGGCAATTGCGATCTCCAGTTTTTTTTTTCAAATCCATTATTTATCAATCGTCCTCTTTATTTGACACCTTCAGGTCTGAGTAAAGTACACGACATGTAGACACGCATGTTTGCTTTCTCCCAGTGCTTGAATGGCCCCATGTTCAGTGAGTGAATATTCTCTCATGTTATTTGACTCAGAACAGCTAATGCAGTTAAGTAGGCTTTGTTAAATGACTTTCCAGGCATCTGTCCAAATCAGGTGCAGATGGAAGTTCCACTGAAGTTATGTATATGGTGAGCACAGGACCTCATATTTATAAAATGTTTTGATATAGTTACTGTTCATTAACAAATTATGTCATGGCATTGATCATATTGAAGTACTTTTTTATTCTAATGTAATTTTGAGTTTGCCTGACAAACTTTTCATAGCATTGTGAAATGGCAACTTAAATGGATATTCCCGTTTCTGATGGCACAGTACATTTTGCATTAAAATGTTGTATAAATTTCCTGGTTTCTAATGCCCTGCATGCACCCCTTATTTCATCCCTTTTTTACACAAAGTAAAAAAAAGTAAAGCTATCCCTCTAACAAGCTGTGAAGGCCTATAGTGTTGTGAGACGTTGAGGGTCCCACATTATCTAGACAATCGGCTCAAAGATGGTAGTAAGGTTATTAGCCTTACATGCCGGCCGTGCTTTACTCCCCAGGAAAATTATTTAATTAATTCCTGGTACTCATTTCTGTTAGAGGCTGAGTCAACCCCAGGGCCATAGTGCTGCTTGAAGGATTAGGTCAACTGAAAAAATCCAACTCATCGGGACTTGAACCCACAACCTTCTGGCTTGTAGCATAGCCCCTCAACCAACTATGCTACCGCGTGCCTCTCTTTTACACAAAGTAAAGAGTAAAATTATGTACCATTCTGTAGTGTGATTTGGCTGCTGTAGGCAGTATGCCTGCTGTATGAGCCTTAAGGATTAACCAGAGCCACTGATATGTAGCATATGCAGTTTCTTTATGCTATATCAAGCAGCTAAATAAATTCCATAAGTACTATGACAGGTGACCCTTCTTGACGGCCTTCATAAAGTAATCCCCCCCCCCAAGATGTGTGGTATTTCTTCTGAAGGAATTAGCCACAGATTAAATTTGGGGAGTGTTTACTGCCATTCTGTTCAAAATCTTTTTGTCTTTCTGTGTGGATGTGAAACTTGGTCCCTTATATCAAGGCAAGAACACAGACCACTGGTGTTTGAGATCAGGGTTCCAGGTACAGTGCTTATGCCTAAGAGGGAGGAAGTGACAGGAGTCTGGAGCATACTGCATAATGAGGAGCTTCTTAAGTTGTACTCCTTACCCAATACTTGTATTACTAGCATTATCAATTGGAGAATGAGATATGCTGGGCATGTAGCATCCATGAGAGGCAAGTGCATGCAGAGTTTTGATAGGAAGGCTTGAAGAGGGCACTGTGAATTCCTAGGCATACGTGGCAGTATAATATTAAAAGTAACCTGGAAGAAACAGGATGGGAGGGTGTGGACTGGGGTCGTTTGGTTCAGGATAGAGACCAGTAGCAGATAAATGCAAGTAATAATGAAATCAGTAACAAAAATGAGACG